TAACATTTGCTCTCCCAAAGTCTAGCACCTCACACACTTAACCCCATTAAACTCCATCTGCCATTCCTCCGCCCTTATCTGCAACTGATCTATATCCTGCTGTATCCTTTGACAACCCTCTGCACTATCCTCAACTCCACCAATCGTTGTATCGTCTGCAAACTTACTAACTCACTCACCTACATTTCCATCCACGTCATTTATATATATCACAAACAGCACAGGTCCCAGTACGGATCCCTGTAGAACACCGCTAGTCACAGACCTCCAGCCTGAGAAATACCCTTCCACCACTACCCTGTCTTCTATGGCCAAGCCAATTCTGAATCCAGGCAGCCAAGTCACCATGGGTCCTGTGCATCTTAATCTTCTGAATGAGCCTACCATGAGGACCCTTGTCAAAAGCCTTACTAAAATCTATGTAAACATCCACTGCTCGATCACCTTCCTTACCTCCCCAAAAAGATTCAATTTAGTAGGACACGACCTGCCCTGCACAAAGCCATGCTAACTGTCCCTAACTAGGCCATGCTTTTCCAAATATGCGTAAATCCTGTCCCTAAGAATTCTCTCCAACAGCTTCCCAACCACTGATATGAGACTCACTGGTCTATAATTTCCTGGATTATCCCTATTTCCCTTCTCGAACAGAGGAACAACATTAGCTGCTCGCCAGTCCTGAGACCTCTCCAGTGGATAATAAGGGTACAAAGATCTTGGTCAAGGTCCCAACAATCTCTCTGGGGCGGATACCATCAGGCCCTGGGGACATACTCACCTTAGCACTCTTCAAGAGACCCAACATGACTTCTTTCTCAATCTCAAAATGCCCAATCATATTAGCATACTCCACTATCCTTCATATCCCTTTCCTGAGTGAATATCGATGCAAGGCACTCATTTAATATCTCACCCCCATTCTCTGCCTCTAAGCACAAGTTCCCTCCTTTATCATTGAGTGGTCCTGCCCTCTCCCTAGTTATCCTTTGTTTTTAATGTATCTATAAGAATGCCATGCAATTCTCTCTAACCCTACTTGCCAAGGTCATTTCATGGCCCCTTCTTAGTGCATCGTAGAATCCCTACAGGGTAGGAACAAGCCCTTCGGCCCAACAAGTCCACACCAAACCTCAGAGCATACCACCCAGACCCACCCCCTAATCTACACATCCCTGGACACTATGGGGCAATTAGCATGGCCAGTCCACCCTAACCTGCACGTCTTTGGACTGTGGGAGGAAACCGGAGCACCCGGAGGAAACCCACGCAGACACAGGGAGAACATGCAAACTCCACACAGACAGTCGCCCGAGGGTGGAATCGAACCCGGGTCCCTGGCGCTATGAGGCAGCAGCGCTAACCGCTGAGCCACCGTGCTGCCCTACTAATTCCCTGCTTGAGTTATTTCCTTATATCCCTCACTGCTCCTGTCCAATTTTTAGCATCTTAAACCTTACATATGCTTCTTTTTTCCTTTTGACTAAATTCACAACCTCCTTCACCTTGCCATCTTATCCTTCCTCCTTACCAGAATATGCCAGTCTTGAACTCTCCCCAGCAGGTCTTTATGTGGACTTGCCTGACTGGATAAGGACAGCAGATTTTCTTCCTTGAACTAGCATTTGTGACACACATGGCTTTTAACTGTGATCGACATTATCACCATTAGATGCATTTTGTTTCATTCCAGATATTTATTGAATTCAGCATTCCACCATCTGTCATTGCAGGATTTGAACCCACACGCCAGATCATTAGGCTGGAGTTCTGGATTGCAAGCTGTCAGATATTAAACGGGCAACAGTGCCTCACTGAAGATTATAATGGTTAATACTCTAGCATTGGCAGACAGCCCAGACCAGCTCACTGTGTGCACCATGACTGCCATCGTGTGGCCTCTCAGTGGTAAGTGCCAGCAATATGGGCACTGGGCTCCAGCTCCAAAGGCTGCAGGAGAGATTTACCAGGATGTTAGATAACAAGGTGTAGAGCTGGATGAACACAGCAGGCCAAGCAGCATCAGAGGAGCAGGAAAGCTGACGTTTTAGCAGGCTTGACGTTTTAGCAGGCTTGACGTTTAAAAATAGACTGGAAAGGCTAGGACTTTTATCACTGGAGTGGAGGAGGTTAAGGTGTGACCTTATTGAGGTTTATAAATAAGGTGAATGACAAGAGCCTTCCCCCACCCACGGTGAGGGAGTTCAGAACTAGGGGGCATATTTAGCAGCTGGGAGGGGGTCATGGAAGCTCCAGGAGGTGAAGGACAGGTCAGTCGATGAAGGCAAAGGAGATTTCCCTGAACACAGAAAGGGATGGGGACGTTTGAAAGGGTGGAGATGCTGGGGATCACCCCTCTTCGGAGCACAGGCAGTTTAGGGGAGAGTGCATTGTTCAGCAGTGGGAAGGAAAGATCAGGGGTGCGTGTGTGTATGTAGGAAGAGATATGTTTCTCACCTATCATCAGAAACCATTCAATCCCACCCTGAAGCAAATTCTTCCAGAGTGAGCTCACTGTCACGTTGTCTCCCCAATACAGAAACCACCACTACCCCCACCTCCCCGAGAACAGAATTGAGAATAAAATCCCAACATTCTCTTATCCACATTCCCAAAATCTCCACACCCCCAAAATCTCAATCCCTTCACATTCCCAAAATCCTAACCCTGATTCCAAACTCCCAACCCCCTCCACCTCCTCAAAATCTCAACGTTCATCCCTACAATCCTAAAAACCCAACCCCATTCCTATATGTTCCCAAAATCCCAACCTGCCCCTGAAACCCCAAACCCTACAATCCCAACGCCGACCTTTTCACATTCCCCAAGTCCCAAGGTCCATCCCTACAATCTCAACCCCCATCCCCTTCACAGCTGACAGCAACTGTTTGCTCCCTCCTCCTCCTGGGACAGTGCCATGTAGCTGAGATATGTATGTGAGAGAGTGGGCGGGTGGGTTTTGTGCCGCTGTTGCTGGTCAAGGGGCAGATTCAGCCTTTGGCAGGCTCACCCCCCTGCTCCCCCACCTTGCTGCACGCCTGTGATTCAACAGACAGACAAGATAACACTGCTTACATAGCGGCCGCCTCAATTAACTGCATCCTCTGCCAGCAAGCTAACAAGAGTTATTGCAGGAACTGTGCTGCCTTCGTACCCTGTAATTTATCAAGTCGAGCATCCTTTTCAATTCTTACGTTAACTCATGCTTGCAGTCCAGAGTAATCGCCGCTAATTAAGCAGCTTTAAACCAGGCAAAATGCTCAGTCTTTGGGCCAGTGAGACCCATTTCAATACCTCAGTGTTAAAGTGAGTCAGAGTGGAGTGTGATTGCTGTGGATTAGAGCTGGAACAGAGTCAGGGGGTGGGGGAAGGAAGGAGACTGACCAAAGGGGCATTTATGGTGCGGCTATAGTTTCCCCTACCGCTGGACCAGGAGACCAGGGTTCAAATTCCATCTGCTCAACAGCTGCGTTTACAACAGTGTGAGCAGGTTGACTGTAGAAAATATTTACAGATGTACCTGCTGACAAACAGGCTGCGCTTCCACCACCAACAAAATATAAATAATACCAGTTTTGCCTTTTTATTGCACCTTGGACAGCAGTTTAAAGGTCTGGTTGAAATCCTTCCCTGACCCCCAAGTCCCAACCAGTGAACCTCTCCTACACCCATCAGGGGACAGGCTCCACACATCTCAGGGCTGGGTGGCAGCTTTGTACAGCTCCATTGGGACTGTGTGCCCAGGGCAGGGACTTTTTCCCCCCTGGAGCGTAGGAGGCTGAGGGGTGACCTCAGAGGTTTATAAAATCATGAGGGACATAGTTAAGGTGAATGGCAGGTGCCTTCCCGCCACTCCCCACTCCCC